TGCATATATAAAACTTAAAGACAACATTTGTATAATTTCAAATTTTAGATTGAAACTTGCAATTTTTGTAAAAAATAAAAAAGATAAAGACCAAAATTATAATTTACTTAGAATTTATATATCAAGTCAAATAAAGTTGAGTCACATACCCAATGCATGAAAGGAATAGATAATCCATGAACTTATTTAATCTTGTTTAATGCACATCCTATCTGCTTAATTACTTTTTAGGTGGTTTAGTGGTGGCTTTCAAGAGAAGGGAAAAAAAATACAAACTAAAAAGGTTCAAAATTTGGTGGAGAAATTGGAATGTGCACTGACAATATTGGTGTGCTTCTATATAGAAACTGTATAATTTTTTAACAAGACTACAAGAGTCATTATCTATATTTTCAAGAAAGAATTTATAAAAGTTATGTCATGTAATAATTATATCACATAAAAAATATGTTCTATAATATTCATTACTATTCTTTTCCAAGATTCTTTTACAGTGATTGTTTATGTTTTTTTTTAATAATTATTTAAGTGTAGAATTTCAATGTCCTTATGAATGTTAGACGATTTTATTGTTACAACTAATATATATAGTATTACTTCTTGATTATATTATTATATATTAAATATCTAATTATATATGTGATTCCTTGATAATTATAGCCATGGTAATAAATAAATAAGTAGGTTTTATAAAAACCGTCGTCGTAAATATAATATTTTATAACATAATTATCATAATATGTTATGATACACTTTATTGGTGGAGGACAATTGGATTAGTTGTAAATTATTTTAAGCGTTGTTATTTATGAGTGTGATTTGATATTAGCAATAACATTAGCATGGGTGGGGTTATACTTTATACAACACAAAGGCGACTAGATACACCATTAATATCGCAAGGGTAAATTGGTAATATGATATGAATCCATTTCTTATCACATAAAAGAATCTCCAATAAAAGCAAGTAAAAGCTTTTCTTATGGCTTATTGCTATTAATCAACTGCTTAAAATTATTTAATATTATTAAGCAAATAAAAGCTTTTCTTATGGCTTGTTGCTATTAATCAACTACCTAAAACTATTTAATATTGTTGGGTCATATGATTTTTTTTATTACTGTTTATCAACCATTTAATTATTAATTATAATATAAATTTTGTCTTTTTATTTTATTTTTTATCATATTTTATATTTAACGTTTTGTTACTAATCATCAACCACTTAATATTATTTTTTCTATTTTATCAACCATTTAATATTCTTCTACCATTTAACTATATAGTTTGTAAAAATAATATTAATATAAATATAATGTGTTTAGAAATAACAATTAAAGAAAATATGTTTATAAAATGTTTCAAATAGATAAATATAAATAGAAAATTACAAATTTAGCAATTTTTTTTAATTACTTTGCAGAAAATAGCCAAAAAAAACCCAACATTACAAAAATAATCATCAAAATTGCAGATAGATTAGAGCCATCTGCAGTTTTGGCATTTGATCTGCGAAGGTACAAGCATTTAAAGTATATGTGTGCATTACGAGCTGTACGTTTGTAGATGGACAAGGTTCATCTGCGACCACCTGCGATTTGTCCTTTTTCAGAATATAAATTCCTAAATATTTTTTGGAACCTTTATTTTTGTTGAAAACTCTCTCATTCAGAAAAGCTATCAAACCTATCATTTTCATAGTCAAAATTAAAAAAACAAAAAAAACAAAACAAAATCGCAGATGAAGGCAGGGTAAATCGCAGATGAACTCACTTCATCTGCGAAGATGGGTGAAAGGAGAGGGTATTTATACCCGAAAATCAAAAAAAAAACAACTGCGAACATACAACCCACACTGCACGCCCATACTTTAAGTGTTTGCACCTTCTCGGATCAAATGCCAAAATCGTACATGGCTCTAATCCATCTACGATTTTGATGGCTATTTTTGTAATGTTGGGTTTTTTGGTTTTTTTTTTTTTTTTGCAAAGTAATAAGAAAAATGGCTAAATTTGTAATTTTTTCTCAAATATAAATAATTGATTTATTTTAAGTCATAAAATGAGTTTATGTACTAGAGAGGATTTATAAAAGATAAGTTTTTTTTAGTAAAAACAGGACAAACAAGTTTTCTTCATATCAGTTTTTTTCCTTTTATTTCTACCACTCACTTCTCAGAGCATATGAAAACTTATATTTTCATTTCTTCCTCTCACTCATTCAATTTTTAATTTTAAAATAAATACAAAGTAATTAAAATCATACAAAACTATTTTGATACAAGTATTTATGCATGAAGTACAACTATTTTTGTAGAGAGTGAGAAAAGAAAATTTGGTTGTTTAACCCATCAATGATCTAGATTGGCGGTACCTCTCATCGCCGGAATCATGCACAAGATCGTACCGACAATACCGCTGGCCGCTACCCTGCCACTATCATAGTTTCGTCCACCTTTAGGGGTAAACAAGTATCATTTGTCTTGGTATTGATTATTTTATATGGATTTTATGGATTAGCGGAAACAAATATATTCGAGACTATGAAAATAATACCAGTTGCACATATTTTTTTGTTTTATCAATAACAAGTTTTTCTGTTAAAAAAATTGTAGTAAGTATCTTAAAATCGATAAAACAAACCCATGTATAAAGTTTGTTTTTACGGTTTAAATAAATTATGTTGTATTCAATAAGACAAATGTCTATTTATTGCTTTATAGAAAATCTTTTTGACAATGATTTGAGGCCTTGATAAAGGGATGTCTAGATTTGATTTGTGTAAAACGTAATTATAATTTATAATCGTGACATCTATACAAAACTCCAAAGACCAAAAGAGATTGATTTTATAATGTGACCTAATTATGAGTTTGATAACAATAAGCTATTAAGTTGGTTTCATATCTAAAGAGAGAGTAAATGGAGATCTATGAATCAAAGACAAAACCAGCTACAAATTAAAGGGGGTTAGTGAAAGGGTTATTTTGTTTTTTCTTTAAGAAAATTTAATATATTTGATTTTTATTTGTGTGTATACTTCCAAATTAAAGATTTCAAGCTTCATATTTAAAAAAAAAATTATATATTTTTTTAGTAACCAGAATTGACCGGGGTATTAAAATATTTATAGAAAAAATAGAACTAAGGGATTGAAATAGAATTTATTGGCATTTTCAGTTTATCAAGATTTATAACATCTTTATAAAATAAATAAAAGTAGTTGATAAAAAAAATGGTTATATTTTATAATAATAGGATTATGATTGACATATTAGTTGCTACCAGATAAATTAGTTGATAGAAAAATGACGTTTGGTAAAACTAACTGACGAGTTAACAAAGAAATACAATGTCATATTATAACCGAATGAAAATTTTGTGTTGATGTGTCATGAATATATGAAATAGAGCATTTCTTACCGATTGTGACTCATTCAAAACATTTTCATTACGTGATGGAGCAGTGGCTTTTTCTTGTTTATTGATGATTTGATGGAATGAAATTATTCTTTTATAATTGTATCTTATTTTTATTTATATAATATTCAATAATACTAATTTTTTGATAAAATTGGAAAACTTCCATTAAATCGGTTTTTCAGTTTCCATGTAATAACCAAAAATGTTTTCATTATAATTATATATTGAGATCTCCATTTGTTTAAAATAATTTTTTTAATTGATAAGTACATTTATTTGGAACAATAAATCTAATCTATTTTAAAATTACTACCGAATTTACACGGACAACACATTTATTTTTACTATTTAAAATATATATAGCATATATTTCCATGAAAAACATTTATATATAGTTTTTATTTTATGAAAGTTTAATTCAAAAGATAATATTTTTAATCAATTTAATTATATTCAGTCTTCTTATTATAGATAAACACCATATTTGAATGATCCATTCATTCCTTCAAATCAATCAAAGGTCATATTAGAATGTAACAGCTCATTCCATTATCTCGCTTATTCAATTACGTTTACTCATTTTTTTACCTTTATAATTCCATTTCACAAAACACACTTTAAATACAAGCATAAATTTTATAAACATCCAATAATATCCTAACCTTCAACTTCATGATGATTTGCATGATCCCCACTCGTATATAACCAAACTTCCACTTGTTTGCATGGAAAAAATTTCTCCAAACGCTCTCGAAGCTTAGTCTTCTGTTAGATTATCTCATAAATTGATATTATAAAACACCAAAATAAAAATAAAACGAGTTGAATAACGAGTTTTGTGCTAAATTCTCTTGATTGTTCTTTCAATTTGTGTCGCTAAATGGCTAGCATCTTCATCTATTTATCTTTTAAAATCATTCTTGCTCCTTCTTGGAATGATGACATAAAGATCCTAGAATATTCCTTTGATTCTATCTCTATCTTTTGCTTATTTTGAACGAGTTGTTTGAAAAAAAAAAATTAAACTTATCCTTGATTCAGTTCTTACATTTGAAAAATGATTTATAAAAATAACTTAGGCTTATAAAAAGAATTCAACAATACTTTTTATTAGGTTAGTTTTTGTCTTCAATATTCTTCCAGCCTTATAACAACTTGAAACAATAATTTTGACTAATATGCAAACGTTTCTATGTATATACCCATTAAAACATTAAATTTTATTAGAAGACTTTTGTGTTGTACCAACATATAAATCACATTGACTTTGTTGACATTAATTTAAAAAGTGCAAATTGTTATAAATATAAGTCAACTTTGGTCGAAGAATCTAAATCTATGGAAAGCTATTAGGGTTCATCACTAAAATATCCAAAAGGAAAGTATATATCAAACTTCATAAAAACCAATGTAGTTAGTTTTTTCGATTTAATTTTTGCCATGTATGTTAAAAATACCAACATACTTCCATACAAAAAAAACACTTGCCCAATCTTTTTTTATTTATTTTGTTCAATTATAATGAGCATTGAAAATGCAAAAGTCAACCAAAACAAAGTCAATTCAAAATACTTAATACCCAATTTTCATCAAGATTCGCCAATGTTACAGCAAGTTGAATTTTTTAATCACCTCAATTAAGGAACTCTTTGTAAACCTCACATACACTAATTAAAATTGCACATAATACATTTTTGGGTTATGTATAAATATAAGTAAATATAAAATAATGTCTTATGGCAAAATTTTCAGCAAAAAAAAAAAGAAACAAATAAATCATTTTATTTGGAATCTTGACCACCAGAAAGAAGAGCATCTGCTGCAGAATCCAAATCATGAGGAAAGAAAACCCTGCACAAATACAAATAGTTTCATTTTATGCATCCAAAATAAAGAAAACATTTTCTTTTTTAACAAAGTGAAATCCAAAATATATTTTTTTGCTCATTAGTAACACCATTAAAAAAGCAAAAAATATATATATAATGTGAAAATTACCTGCATGTATTATGGTAAAGGGTTGTGCTCAGTTGGTTAATGTCAGCAACTCCTTTACAACCACCAACAACTTCAAGAACTTGCCTAAAGAAAGATTAATAATTTAATACTATACAATAAAAAAATTACACTTTTGGTCCCTGAGTATAGCTGAATTTTTCAATTTTGGTCCTTATCTGGGATATTTTCAACATTTTTTGGCCCTGTTGCAAGTATATGATTATTTTTAACCACTCGGTTTAGCTGATTTGTGCAAGTTTGGTCCCGAAAAAATTATATTTTCCAATTATGGTCCTTGTTTGGGTTCTTGTAATGTTTTTGGTCCCTGTTCCAAGTAGAATGACTAATTTCGGTCACTGGGTTTAGCTAATTTATGCAATTTTGGTCCCAAAAAAGTTATCTTTTGCAATTTTAGTCCCTATTCCAAATAAAATGACTATTTTGGTCCTTGAGTATAGCTGATTATCATAATTTTGGTCCCAAAAATATAGTTATCTTACTTGAAAAAAGGTAACAAAAACCTCAAATAAGGACCAAATTTTAAAAAAAAATTAAAAAAATTAGATACATAGGGACCAAAAATGTAATTTAATATATACAATATCATAATCCAAAACAGTTAAACTTACGATAATAAACATCATAAAAGTATAAAATATATGCCAAAAATGCCCTTACCGGATTAAACAAGGTTCATTTCGACCTTTGACTAGGCAATCTTGATCATATTTCTCTTTTTTCTTAGAAGGCCAGGTGGATTTTATAAAATTCTTTCCAGCATGAGTGTTTTTTATTTCACAATAAGGAGAATCTGTCTCGATCATCATTCTTTCAAGAGGGATACCCTTTAATGCATCAAGATTTTCGGGTGTTTTTCAGAGAGCAGCCGTTTATACCTGTTGTTGAAAGAATTATTAAAATATTATAAATTTGGAATTTGTATATTTTTTTGTATATATATGGTTGACCTATAAAGAGATTGTTGAATGCCAGAAGCTTGTCACGATCTTCAGGAGTACCCGTAAATGAGTGGGCAACTCCACCATAGAACCTGCCACATAATGAAAAAACCAAATGAAATATGCAGTACACATGTTTTAAGTTATACAAGTGTTTCATAAATATAACCAATATCATAATAACTTTACGAAATTCAAAATTAAAAAAACCACTCATTTTTCGTAAATATAACCAAAATCATCATAGCAATCTTTTTCAAATGAGGAGTTGAGCCATCAAAAGTTCCCCACCATTTTGCTATAAATTTTAAACATAAACTTGGAATAAATTGATACTATTAGAACTTTTTACGAATAAATAACTAAAAATAAAACACATTACTCGGATCAAAGTTGTCATGCTTTAACTTTTAGATCCCGACCAGATCCATTTTTTTTATTCTTGTACTTCGGCAACTCAACGATTAAAATTTGTTTATGCCTTTCTAAATCTCCCAAAAATCAAGAACCGTTTTCCATTACATCAAGTCATCATCTTAAACCATTGGATCTTTATAATAATAATAAGAAGTTAAAAGATACACTGCCAAATGTAGATTGGAATTTGGGGTATCTTTCATATACAATAATATGATATCCATGATAGGTCTCTATGCTTTACCATCATTGCTTTAAGCCATAGTTACCTAATTTGCAGGTCGCTCCAGTTTGGGAACGCGGAGCAGGTCCATGCTTTACCATCTAGTTTGGTTCGGTGTACCCAGTTAAAAAATATATATTCAAAAACATTTAGTCTTTAGATTTTATAAACCAATTTTCAAAATACAAATAAATTAAGTTTAACTTCTAGAATAAGAACAATGTCATTTTTTTCTAAACATATGAAACAGCAAGAACATTAGAAAGTACCAAAACAGTGTCATTTTTTTTCTAATCTACTCGTTGTCTTTTTCCTTTCCCGTTGTCAACACTTTCGTCATCAAGATTCTCCCAAACCATTTCCTTTAATCAAGCAGTGGAACCTTCAATATATGTGTTTATTGGATTCATGTCCCGCTTCTTGTTGAGGTCGGATTTATAACAATAAGAAAAACGGGACTGAAGTCTAATGTTGGAGTGAATAAAGACAAGTTTATCCGCTCTCTTGGCTTATAAACAATTCCGCTTGACACTATGGATATAGAAGTATCTACTCAAATTTCTCTCCGCCAAAGAGCTACTAGTCGGTCTGAAAAGTACTTTTTTGCTACTTCTGCCAATTTTGGAGTTTATCGATCCATATGTAGTCCACCAATCAATTCCGTCTATTGTCACTGCATTGGCTTGCGTTGCAATTCTAGAATAGATACCTTTTTCATATGAAATGTCGCAAATTGTTCTCATAGCATTCTTTCTTCTTCATTTTCCGCAATCCTATGAAACGCTTCCATAACACCGACTACGATCTTATTCTATTTGTTAGGAGTTTTTTTTGCCATTGCATCGGGTGCCAACTTCTAAATAGTGCTTATTAAAAAATTTAGGACTTGAAGCAAACCCAAAAAAATGAAGTGGGGTTATCATTTTCTCCCCGATCTAGCCGCAACAATATTTTCAACTTGAAAGTAATAAGTTAAGTATTTATGTCCACACTTTTCACCGATTCCTGCCAAAAAATGAGGACGATAGTTTTGGCAAGTCTCTCCCTAGAATCCAATAATTTTCTCAAGAGTATACAATGTGATATAAGACGTGTCTTCGCAACCTTCAATAACTCCAATTTGAGCTTTCTCTAAAAAATGCTAAGGCATGGGTGTGGTTAAAAAATACTTAACAATTATTTTGTCTTTCTTATATGTTAAGGTTAGCCAATAACACACAATAGCCAAGTCTTTAAAAATCAAATTTAAATTGTGCACACAACAAAGTGACCAAAAAATATGTTTGTATACCATCTTGATTTCCCGCCCAACCGCTTTGCAATTATTCACGTTATCCATTACAACTTGCAACACATTGCTTGGTGTGGTTAATTTGCATTGAACAATGTTTATGTATTCAGAAGACTTTTTAAGGGTGCAAAAAACGTGGGATGCGATTTCTAAATTTTTCTAGGAGCTATCGAGAGTATTGGACCAAGCAATGTGTTACAAGTTGTAACACACAACATGACGAACTGCAAAGCTGTCAAGCGGGAAATCGACAATGTATACAAACATATTTTTTTGTCCCTTTTTATGTGCACACTTTAAATCTAATTTTTAAAGACTTGGTTATCGAACTTTATTGGCTAACCTCAACATATAAGAAAGGCAAAACAATTCTCAAGTATTTTCTTAACCACACCTATCCCTTAGCTTTTTTTAAAAAGAAAGCTCAAAATTGGAGTTATTGAAGGTTGCAAAAACACGTTTTGCATCCCATTATATACTCTTGAAAAGATTATTGAATTGAAGGAATGCACTTGTCATAGCTATCATTCTCAATTCTTGAAGGGAATGGGTCAAAAGTAGGGACGAAAACACTCGAAAAGTTAGGGAAGAAGTCACCGATACGATTAAGTATGACGAGTTTTGGGAAGATGTTGAGAATATTTTGGCTATTACAAAACTCATATTTTTGTTAAATAAGTTTTGTGATTGCGAAGGTCCAAGAAAGGAGAAATTTACGAAAAAATGGACAACATGCCGGATGAGATCAAAGATACTATAAGGGGACATAAATACTTAAATTATTACCCTCAAGTTGAAAATATTATTGCGGCTAGATGGGGAGAAAATGACAATCCCACTTTATTTTTTGGGGTTTGCTTTAAGTCCTAAATTTTATGATAAACATTGTCTCGAGAAGTTGGCACCCAGTGGCAATGCAAGAAAAGCTCTTAACCATAACAAAGAGATTGTAGTCGGTGTTATGAAAGCGTTTCATAGAATTGTGGAAAATGAAGAAGAAGAAGAAGAAGAAGAAGAAGAAAAAAGAATAATACGAGAACAATTTGCCACATTATATAAAAAATATATATATTCTACAACCGCAACGCAAGTCGACGTTTTGACAAGAGACAGAATTGATTGGTAGGCTACATATGGATCGGAGACTCCGAAATTGGCTGATGTTGCAAAAAATATACTTTTCCAACCGATTAGTAGCTCTTCAACGGAAAGGAATTGGAGTACATACTACTATATCCATAGTGTCAAGCGGAATCGTTTAAATGTCAATAGAGCGGGTAAACTTATCTTTATTCACTCAAACATTAAACTTCAATCCGGTTTTTCTGATTCTTATAATCCGACCCTCATAAAAGGTGGGACATAAATCTGGAAAGCGCACATACACAAGGTCAAGTGTTGCTCGATTAGAGGAAATTGTTTGGGAGAATCTTGATGACGAAGGCATTGACAATGAGAAAGGGAAAAGGGTAGATTAGAAAAAAAATGAAACTGTTTTAGTACTTTGTAATGTTTCTATGTTTTACATTTTCAGAAGAAAAAAATGACATGGTTCGTGTTTTTGAAGATAAACTTCATTTATTTGTATTTTGAAAATTGGTTCATAAAATTTAAAGACTAAATGTTTTTGAATATTTTTTATTAATTGTGTACATCGAACCAGACTATATGGTACACCGTACCGGTTCGTACCAAAATGAACTTACCCCTTAATGTACCCGATACGTCTACTTTAGCGAATCGCGAACCCGGTCCCCGTGTTCCCGAACGGAAGCGACCCACAAAATAGGTAACTATGGAAGAGACATTTCACAAAGAAAATACATAATGTCAAACAAGAAGTCATGAGATTTTCCAATGAATTTCTATCTTTACAAAGTTTGGTTGAAAAGAAGGCCCAACTCGTGTCAGATGTTTTTAGCGTTGTATGTGAAAAATGCACAGTTTCCAAAAGACCAATATATGGAAATCTGCATATGCGGTTGTGTTAAGTATCACATCTCGGATTGATGTGACATTATGCTCAAGGGTTTTGGCTCTTTAGTCAATGTTCTTCGAATGTTTGATGGGGTATAAAAGCAATCCAAGGGTTTTATATATAGTAAGATTAACAAGGCAGAGACAAAAAATCATCAATGTTTTGGAAATAATAATTAAAGTTACAAACATATCATGGATATTACATCATCAAAGATGAATGAAAGGCTAGATTAGAAACTACATTTGACGGCTTAACTTTTAAAATCTTGTAATCATTATAAGGATCCAGAGCTCCAAGATGATATCGATTTATGGAAGCGGATCTTGATTTTTGCAATATAGTATTTTTGGAAGATTTAGAGATGCAAAAGCAAATTCTAACCATTGACTCGAAGTACAAGAATAAAGTTGATAGACTAGTAGGGATCTTACAACGAAAGTATGAGAGGTGAACGATGAGAACTTTGATTCGTGTAATGTGTACTATTTTTAGTTTATTTAGTCTATAAAGTTTCAAATTTATCAACTTAATAATGTGTTTATGTTTTAAAATCATAACAAATTAGTGGGGAACTTGTGATGACTCAACTCCTCACTTGAAAAAAGATTGTAATGGTGATTCTTTCTTAAACTACTATTTCTTCAGGAACCAGAAAAATTAGAGCACATTTGAAAGGGTTATATGAATATATTCCCTATATGTAACATGGTGCTATTTGTTAGAAAAGTAGGTCGGTACACAAAAAGGTTTCATAGATATCACACTATCAAAAAATGTATCAAAACAAATTAGAGCATCAACTATATTAATAAGCATAGCTTAGGTTATGAGCACAGATCCATCCATCATACCTGTGTTTGTTTTGGTCAAGAATCTCAATGAAATCTCCAGCAGCTGCTCGCATATGAAGAAACATTGGAAGCTTCATGAGATGTGCTAATTCAAACTGTCTCTCAAAGTACCTAATGATAAGATAACAATATATCTGAGAAAAAATGAAAAATAACCAATTGTAGATAACTCACATATGCTTACTTCTTTTGAATCTCTGGTGAACAAAAGTGAGTTCTGTCATAATCCAGTCCGCATTCACCAATTGCCACTACCTTTTTGAAACATAAAAAAGTTCAATAAATGTTTCATCAATTTAGACACTAATGCATAAATCTATAATGTTCATATTATCTTACCTTTCCTTTCTCAACTCCAACTTTAGCCAGCGACAATAGTGCTTGGAAATGCTTTTCTGGATCTCCACTCTCATCAAACTCCTGAACAAGATTAAAATAAATCATAAATACAAGTATCTTTATGTTAATGGAAAAAAGAAAGATAGCAGAGTGTATTCACAATTCACAAAGAAGAAATGCCCACATTGCATCTTGTTGGGTGCACTCCAACTGTACAGAATAGTCTTGCTGCAACAAACATTGCATCATCAAATACTAAACCACTAAAACTATCTAATGAAAAAAAAAATCCAATCCAAATATCCAATACTACAAAATTGGTAAAGATATGTTGCAAAATCAGCACACACATTGACTAACCATCAGTTTCAGCAATAGCTAAAGCTTCCCTTGACTCCTCAAGTGATCCTCCTGTCACCTGCAACAAAGGCGTCTCCTCAGTGATCAGAGCATGAACAAAGAGAATTGTTAGAATGTGTGTGCACTGATAGAAATCATATGAGTTACTGGTTTTTATGTATATCGATTAGTAAATATATGTCGATTTCTTAAGTGAATGAGTTTTCATCTGAAAGGCACAACTTAGCTTCTTGTTGTATAAACGAAAGAGATGTCAAAGCGCTATAAAATCACCAGAGATGAAAGATTAAATGCAAAACTTACTATAATTCGATCAACGCCAGCGCTCCAAGCCCTAGTTAAAACTGCTGCAATATCAGGTAAATGGCACTGTTTTCCATTATATACACCCTTGAACATGCTATCTGCATCGAGATATTGAAAAATTTTCAACCACTAAGAAAAGTATTAAGCTTTTGAACCTCGTAATACAATTCGGTATCAAATAAACTAACCTGTGAAGTTGACGGCAATGTCTGCTCTAAAAATTGAAGAGGAAAAACCAAGCAAGGTATAGATGATGTTAGTAAATTAAGCAGTGAGCGTAAGAATTAGGGTTTATACACAAAGAAAGGAAATAATACGAAGTAGAAGAGCCATGCCTATCATTCGAACTGTCGCCATGGATTAACCTCAAGAGATGAATCGTCGAGGTGTTTGGTTTGCACTTTGCAGTCCCAATAAGGTCTTTTGACTTTTGGGGTCCAGCAGGAATTGAATTTCTGAGTTTTGCATTGGTGGAGTGTTGATCAGAGAATCTTTATCTTTTTTAATTACGACTTATTATTATTAACTTTTTTTATTGGAACTTACAGTTTTTTTGTTTTTTTAAAATAGTTAATTATACGGGTTTAGAGCAAATCCAAATCTTTTTAAGAAATTCAAAAATTCAATTCAAACTTGCCTCATAATCCACATGGTTTTGAATAATTAAATTCATACATTTATCCATCGAGTCCAATAGACATCCAAACTCGTCACGTAACCCGGATATTTTTTTTAATCACATTTTACTTAATTTTTAAAAAAATATTTCTTAAATAAAAAATGTCTACTATACTACTTAAAAGAATATTTCTTAAATAAAACAAATGTTGATTTAGAAAATGCATTATGTACTTGAGGACTTTCGATTGAAATTAAAAATCATTATTGTCGCAACTTCTGATTGATTTCTAATTGTCAATTATAATGATAGAGAATAGCAATTGCAAAATTTCTTCCGGTTGATAAATGATTTTATTGATTTATAAATTAAATTGGCGAATCTTGATAAAATATAAATGAAATGAAATCATGATTCTTGGTAGAAGAATGGAAGTCTATAAGTCAACTCTTCGATTCCTACGTAAAAACAGTTTGACATTTAGCTTTTGCCCCCATAGACTTGCGATTGGAATTAAAAATAAACGTCAGGCAATACAAAATATAAACGTATAATTCTAAAATTTATACGGGGCGGGTTATAAACGGAGTGGAGCGGTGATGATCCATATTCAACCCTTTTAATAAAATGGTTAACGAGTACGGGTCGTTATAGGGTAAACAAATCAAAAACTATGCTCCAAACCCATATAATTCTTAAGGGTTTGGATCGGATCAGGGTCAAAACCCGTTCCATTTACAGGTCTACAGTTAATGAAAATCTAACCCCTTTCTCTTTAGGGAAAGTGACTTATAAGACCAATAAAGTTTTAAAAACGTTCAAAAAACTCCAATTATATTTTTGATTGTTCAAAAAAACCCAACGAACTTAACCTTTTGTCTAAAAAGTCCAACTAACTTACATTTTTGTTGAATTCTCATTAGAGTCAACCGACTAATGAAAGTCAACGAATGACAAATAGCATAATATAACCTAGTGGGCCGACATTGGTGCATTCGACCCACGGGTACGGTGAGGAGACTGATCACCTCAATCCGCTGATAACCAAAAACTGCTCGGGTCGCTGAACCGGATAATCTCGCACCAACTAACAATAAATACAACCTTAATTAATAATTAACCTAATAACCCAATATTCAAGGCCCAAAAATCCAAAATAAGCTCTTAACGGTTAAGACAAAAGCATCCAAACACTTATTTGACCCTAAATGATGTCTTAACACGTAAAGTTCGCAATTTTACTCATTTGCATGACTTAATGGGACCAAATCCTTGTTTTTATTTATATTAAGAACACCAACTCATGCATGCATCAACAAGAACCCTCAAGATCACATTTTTATGACTTAACAACTCAACAAGGATCAAATATGAGGCTCAAAGGTCCTGGAGGAGCTTCTACTCACAAGATCAACAACCATGGGAACAAAACATGATAAAATACCACCCAATAATAGATCTACACTAGAGAACCATAAAGTTTGAAGCTTTATACATCCATAAGGTAGATCAAGATATACAAAGCCTGGATCCACAAGCTTCGAGCAATCCCACACTTCTCGAAGAAGCTCCTTTTTCTTCAATGAGCACCAAAATGCATGAAATCAGACCAAAAGCTCAAGAACCACACCAAATGAGGCTAAGGTTTCGTTTCTAAGGTTTAATGGGATGGAGGCTGAAGATAAGAGGGTGTCACACCCCCGAACTAGGACGACGGAAACGTCCGGGGGCGGATGACGTCATTGTATAGTATCATAACCGTTGAATATAAATGAAACATAGCAACACAAACATTCATACATTGAGATTTCAAGTATTACATTGTTTACAAAACTCTGGTGTTCAAAAGTTGAATACAAATAATTGAAAAGTAGAAAAACATGAGACGACGACGCCCGCCCTCAAGAAGGGTTGAGTACTTGTCTACTGGTTTCCTGAGAATACAAGTGATTTTGAAAAGTGTCAACAATTAAGTTGGTGAGTTCATAAGCATTTTGTATGAAAAAGGGTTTGTAACTGTTTTGCGAAAAATGGTTTCGTATATTTCCATAAAATCTGATATTTTCTTTAATATGAACTGTAATTGTATGTAATTCCTTTGTATCTTTTCCTTGTAAAGTAATAATGTATGTTTCCAGAAAATCTGATATTTTCTTTAATATGAACTGTAATTGTATGTAATTCCTCTGTATCTTTTCCTTGTAAGGTAATATTGTATGTTTCCAGAAAATCCAATATTTTCTTAAAGGTGAACTGTAGTCTTAAACCCTAAGACCAAGATGTAAGTGAATGTTGTACTGAAAATAGTATATAGTTTTGTTTCTTTTTATAAAACTAATGAAGTGTAAGCTTCCAGTAAACCAAGTAGTTTCGCTAATCCCTGTGTGAGTTATTATAACCATGCTTGATATGACTGATATGCCTGAACGATGTTCTTCAGGCGTCGGAATCGGTAGACTTTTGCCATCCTAGACTTGCCGGTCTAACTGTAGCGAACAGCTGAGGTCTGGGGTTGTCAATCCCGTATAGATCTATACACAACGGTCTCGCTCTCCCTCCAGGAGACTCTGGTTATAATGCAGGACTTAAGGTGTACACTAGGTAGGTACGGTGAAGATAATGTCTCACAAGAGCATTAACTGATTTACGTGAACTACGACTCCTTTTTCTTGTAAAACGAAATAAGTATATCTTTGAACAATTTTATGTATCTTCAAAAATGTAGGTGTGGTTAGTGACTTCCAAACTATACAAATTATAGTTTATCTTGTTTGTTTGAAATTATTTATATAATCTTTTATATAAATATATATGTGTATTCTTGTCGAGTATTAAAATATTAAAACATAATATTTTTGGGTTAAAACCCACCAAATTAGTAAATGACTATAATGTAATCATTTTTGCTAGAAAAGCTAACTTTTAGAAAAAGTTTCCAAAAACCATGAAGTTTTACAATCATAAATTTTCTTATGATTTTATAACATAGATTATGTTTGTTTTAACAATATGTATATCACAAATATTTATTCCACAAACTAGTATAAACCATAACTTATGCAAATAATATGTTATCTTTAACATAAAGATGAAAGCATGAAATTATTTGTGGGATAAACAAAGTTTTACTTGTATCCCCCCCCCCCCAAAACATGAAAAAGCTTGAAAATATGGGGGTATGAACTCACCTTGGTTATTTCGTGTGGTAGTAGGAAGGAAAGAGGAGTGGTTTCGAGCCTAGCTTTGTGCACAAGTGTTACATCCATAAAAATCATGTCAAATTTAAACTTTTTAAAACATTTCAAAACCAATGATTATTACAAAACTTGTTTTCAAAATAGTATAATGTCAGAGTATCCCAGAATCAAATCATAAAATCATGAAATATGAGGAGCTGTACGATCACGCCTTCGCCTTCCCTCGATCATCAAAAGTACCTGAAACAATATCGAAGGCTTAGTGAGTTACCCCCAAAATACCAACGCCATAAAACACATCAATAACATATAAGCAAACAGCATGCATACTGAGCCTTCAGCCTGATTGGACCGCCTCGCGGGCCTTCAGCCTATCTGGACCGCTCTCCGAGCTTTCGGCATGTCTAGACCGCCTCGCAGGGCCTACAGCCTATCCGGACCGCTTGTCGGGCCTTCGGTCTGACTAGCATGCCCTCCCGGGCTTGTAGTCTATCCGGACCGCCCTGGGTATGTTGGCCTTCAGCACAAAGCAGGACCGCCTCAACCCAACCCCCAATAAAACAAACATGTGCACATAAATATCATACGTTAGCATATATGACAGTCAAGCCGATCTAACATATCATCAATCATAGCAACATCCTATAACCATGATACAGACCTAACCGGTCACTAACATAGCTGTTGGATTAGGTGTCTAAGCTCATAACTGTTATTGGTATGTACTTGACCCGAGAGTAGCATGGTCCATTTGGGTTGCATATCATCAGGACAATTTGATAGGATGGACTTTTGAGAAGAGGTTATTTATGGTTTATTAATATATTATAAGTTCTTATATATTAATATGAAATCATATTATTTAATTAGTATTGATCAAGAATTAATTTGGAATTAATTTTGTGATCAAAAGAGACTAATTAAATATAAGGGGTTGATTTGGTAAATCATTCATTCTTATGGTGTGGGCCAATGATCCATGATTCCTTAGGTTGGGCTAAACCCATGTGACAATCCATGGATGATCCATGGAGGTTTAAACCCATGGAGCCTAAGGAATATGGAAATTCATGCCCATTAGGGTTTACATGGTGTAACCCTAATCATGTCACACTATATAAGAAGGCCCTTAGCATCCAAAATGGCAGACTAGATCCTTGGAGTTCCATGAGCCGATTTTGGTGCAAGAAATACTCTCACAAAAGTCTCATTTTGTTGTAGGTGTGTTGTGATTCCATTTGAGGCATCCACACTATTGGTGCTAAGTTCTTAAAGGTCCAAGGTTTTCAGCTATAACAAAAGGTATGCCATCTAACTAGAATTTTGTAGTATAGATACTCCATTGTATGCTAGTTAGGATGATGCTTTGGAATATTGAAAGTTTGTATGTATATTAGAGAAAACATAGATCCAAAGCATTTAGGGTTGCATGTACACCTTAGGAGTGTTAGAATGCTCAAAACTCATCAGTGGTATCAGAGCCTAGGATTGTTTTCCATTATACTTGATGTTACTTGTTTTCAAAGCTTGAAAAAATCGATTTTCTGCTGTCTGAACAGTGGACTCGCCGAGTCCCCTCACAAACCTGACCAACTCGTCGAGTTTGTTCATGCACTCGACGAGTTGGTGCTCCTGG